ACTGAGGGCAAACCTTATACTCTGTGTGTATTTCCTGATTCTGTGAAATAGATATGCTGCCCTACATTTTCCAGAGCTTTCCATGAGTGCTGCCTGGCATTATGGAAACACATTAGAAGGTCTCAGCTACCAACAAATAGACTTGTCTTTCTACTAGATGCCTGGGTTCCTTTCCTCGTGGTTTTAACTCCTGGTTTTCTATTTCACTGAATTTATTAGCTATATTCAGAGCCTAGAGCAATAGGGACTGAAATTTTTGTATATGTATTTACATAAGAAGATATCATCTTCTTCATCAGAGGTTTCAGTTTGATGAGTCTTGTGGGTTGTTTACAGTCTGCCTTGGGCTTTAAAGGAAACACCCCTTTGCTGGAGTGAATTCTGTGGCAGCTTGAGTGCTTGTTATGGCCACATCCCCATTCTGGTTAAAGCTAACAAATCTACAGACTCATTTTGAGGAAATCTGCCTGTGTCAGTTAACTCTTGTTTGTGACAAAGAACCCCCAAATCTCAGTGGTATTTATTGAGGTCATATATCAGTTGGGTCACTAGAGGTTAGCTGATCTAGGGTGGGTGATCCAGCTGAAACACTTATGTATGCCCTCCATGTCTCTCATTCTTTTCCTGGATTTAAAAAGCTGGTACAGGCTTGTTTTTCCCTTGGCAATGGCAGAAATGCACAAAGATAAGAAACATACAAGTTCTTTTCACTGAGACTCTATACTGGCATGTTGCCACTTCGTATCATTCTTTTGGCCAAAGTAAGTCACATGACCAAGCACAAAATGTAATCAAATAATGAGATAACATATTCTGCCTCTTCAGCAGGAGGAATGCAAAGTCCCATGGCAAATGGCACAGATACAGAATGAATAAAGAACTGAGGGCATTAATGCAAATTACCACACTGCCACAGCTTTTCCTTGCTGTGAACCATAGGATCACACTCCCTTCATCTGAGCCAAGAACAACCATCTACTGTGGCTATCAACTTATGAGGTAGCCCAACACAAGAGTTCTGTTCAATAAGGGAACTTGGGTTCCACCTAGGTTCTTAGAATAACCATACTATGCAAGTGCAAAGCTGCTAGTGAATATGGTTTCTATCAGTAGGTGGAAAAGCAAAGGAAATTGATATGTACCTTTCCTGGAGTGGTAAGAAACTATACTTTCTAACTCTGTCTCTTTGCTAGGGATCTTCCTGTCTAATTTCTGTGAGGCAGGAAGTGGCCAAAAGTCAGCTTACATTGATCTCTACTCTGAGACACATCTTTGTGTAAAGACCCACTCAGTGGTGAGAAAAAACTGCTCCTGGCCTCACCTCCAGAACCAGAAAATTAGTCCTAATCACACTAATTAAATACTGTGAGTGTTTTTGGGCTCCCATTCAAATTTTTAAAAGATATATTAAAAAATGGGTAAAGACAAGTAAGGGCTGCTTGTAGTTATTATGCAGGCCAATACTTTTACATTAGATTTTCTCCTCCCTACTCTTTTAAACTCAATTATTATTGATCATTCAGGAATTTACTAGCTATATGCTTACTAAAATTTTTGTGTTTGTTATGATGCCCCTGCCACACACACTAACACAATACTGTGGAAGGGGCATCCCAAGGGAGTTGTGCCCTTCATCAGAGATCACACTTCCCCAAATCCAACTCTGAGAATCCCCCCGCACACAGATAAATAAGTCAGGAATAGTCACTTGACACAATACCAGTTAATCTACCCATTAGCCAATGGCTAGGTGAGAAATATCAGCCTAAATGAGGTTTGAATAATTAGCTATGTCAGATTTAGTCTCAGACATTTGAATTGAAATCTAGAATGGGGGTAAGGAATAGGGAGGAAGACAGAGAGGAAAATAACCCCAGAGAGTAATCACAGTATGTCAGTGGCAGACCACTGGTGCAGGGATCTTTCCAGCTCCCTTAAATCCAGAACAAGTCTCCAGCTCCTATCTTCCTATTCATGTGTGGCATGAGCCTTTACCCTGGAGCTCCACGATATCCCATCTCTTGTATCATTAAGTGAATTCTAATAAAAACCCCCAGTAAGTCCATAACTGGAAATTAAAATAACTAAAAAAACAGCCATTTATTACATGCTCTATTGTGTCTTTTGTTGTATGCCTGTCTTCCTATTTAGTGAGACTATTAGCTCCTTAATGGCAGAGATACTATGTAACTTCTCCAGGAAGGTAACCCAGACTTCTAATGCATTGAGATTCTCAGAAAGAACATAAATTGGATTGACAGCAATCCCAATATTCTCTCTAAAATCAATTTTAAAATTATACCAAAATGTATTTGTTATGTGCTATTTTCAAAAATTATAGCTGAATGCTTTCTTTCAAGTGTGTGATGTCCTACAAGATGGCTTCCTGGACAGCAGAAAGAACAGAATAGTTTATCTAATTTATTATTTTCTCCAGCATTTGGCTTACCTCCACTAGAGACAGAGACTAGGCCAGTAACTTCTTTAGATCACTACTATGTGTTCACATCAAATGACTGCTGGGAAAACTTTTCATCCCTCAGTTCTTTGCAAAAATAAAAATCATACCTGGAGGTGAAACTAACAACAACAAAGCCCTACAGAGTCACTGTGAGAAATAAGGGTGAGTCAGAAAATACTGGGCAAGCATACTGTCTAATGTATGAACTCCTCTCCACTAGCCACACCCACTCTGGGAAGCTGAAGCTGAAGAAGCGGGGGATATTATCTCTGAACCTTCATCTGCACACCACATCCTGCCAGCATGCTAGAGGTTTGCTATAGGTAAGTATATAGAGTAACTCTACTAGGCTCTGTGCTATTTTGACATTTCAAACTATTAATCTTTAATAGAAAAGATAAATCAAAGGCAGGTTACCTTGGAAGTATTTTATTTAACAATATTCTTAAATTACATCTTACAACTTTGATCCTTCTCTGGAAAGCTATACTTGCATCTGAAACTTGTACAAACTTTTAAAAATTCAACTTTAACTTAAAAAATATTCAATACAAAAAGAAAGGCAACAATATGTTTTAAAAATGTATCAGGTTCAAAATCTTGCTATTTTTTTCTATTAAAAAATTTGCCTAATTATTCTTCCTAATCTCAGAGACTCTCCTGCATGTCCTTTCATATCAGACTGAAGTCCATACACTAGTCACCCCTGCATTTCTGTCCTTTGAAAGCCATGCTTAATCTTACATCTTATGAAACAATTGAGAGAAACTTTTTCTGCCAATTTCCTTCAAAACATGATTTATTCTCTTGTATCTTTCATTGCCAGAAAAACAGATATTGTTTCATTCTCTGTAAGAAATGCTATTTCTAGAAATCTCCAATTGTCACTTCCATTAGAAAATATCATCTAATCATTTCATACTCTAAATAAAAATTCAGCTGTTACTGTTCAAGAATTCTGAAATGTAATTTTTCTAGTCTCTGTGTCCATGGCAGTAGACAAGACTAATTTTCATCAAGGATATAAAATAGGGCAAGTGGAGATGTGGTCTAAAACCATATTATCACACACAAATATTGTCTGGCTTGCTCCCAAAACTACTCTCCGCCTATGGAGACTCACTCACTCTACTTTGAGTTCAATTGGACCTAGATGAGCTTGAGCTTGAATCAACCAGTGGGAACTTCCCCAATGGGAAGCATTTCCAGAATGTTGCTGGAACAATAGAGAAACATGCATTCTGTCTTTCTGGGATCATGAGTATCACATTTTCCAGTATCCATCTCACTTGTGATTCATTATATAGCAGCCATTTGGCTTTAGTAGAACTGACACAACCCCCAAATTCAGAGGTGGCTTATCCTGTTTAGTAGAAGCCAATCAATCAAGAGAGCTCTTTTCCCTCTTTCCCTAGATATTGAGTCCAGGATGGGCAATGACCTAAACTGGTCCTCACAGAATGGAATACAGAGCTTCTGTCAATAACTGAGGGGAAAGATTTATTCTCTTGCTCTGACTGATGTGGTGTGCATCTGTGAGGACTAGAACCATTGCAGCTCTAGGTGACACATAGAAGAGCTAAGAGAATCCCACAGCTGATCAAACCACATCCAAAGCTTCACTACATCTGGATTTTTAGCTGTTATGTGAGCCAATACATTTATTATTCAAAGCAGTTTGTGCTGAAGATCATGTAATGTATGCCTAAAGTTTTCATTAACATCTTTGCCATTACATGGCAAAAGCTCACCAGAGAATAAAGTCAAAGTGAAGAAAAGCAGCACTGGGAAAGAAAGCAGGATACATTGATTGCTAGTGACATCACCTGAGGTCCCTTCTTCATTGTAAATTAATGCAGTTTCCTTTTTTATTTAAATTAATCTGAGTTGGGTTTCACTACTGGCAAATGTGAAGTCCTGAGTAATTCAGTAGTGTTTCAAGTTTGTAGAATTTAGTGGCTCTGAGATGATTATCTGACTATTTTTTCAGTGAAAGGGGATCACCACAAGAACTAAATTTGAAAATAAAATCTAGTCTTTGAGAACTAAATTGAGTATAATATAGTCACTGATCAGAAAAACTAAATTTATTATTCAGTCCAAATCACCAATTCACTATTTTAAATGATAGTATTGGCTAAAAAATACAGAGAAAGTTTGAAAATGGTTTAAATAAATTCTGTCACCCTTAATACCTGGTTAATGCCTATTCTATATGTTCCTATAGGATGATCATTATTTGTGCTACATTGCAGGCTTCAAAGGAGGCTTGAGGCTCCTTGTTTCACCAAAACCATGAAATGAAGAAAAATTACGTAGATAAGGCCAAGAGCATTGCTGGGTTCCATTGTTAAAGGCTAAAACTTCCAATATGGCATAGGGGTTTGGCATCCCTGTGGCTTCATAAGTTATTGTTTCAAGAAATCTCTCTTTGGATCCTTTCTTTATGGGAAGATCCTACTTTAGGCTTTTCTTTTTTTCCATGTATCTATTATTGCTACAGGAACTTAGGCTCCTTTTTTCGTAAAGTTTTTCTTACCGTCTCCATACCTTCCTTGGCCTCTGCTGCTGCCACTCTCAGGCCCCGACGAATGGACAGCACATTCAAGGGAGTCAGACAAGCAGGCCACAGTTTGATGGTTCAAACTGAAACTGAAACAGAGAATAGCTGTATTAGATGATATCTCAACCAGCCTATGAAAACTAATCTCATGAGTCAATTCCATCCCACAATAAAGGATACCTCTACCATAATCTAAATATCAGTTACAGTAAATTGACATTACCCAAATACTCTATGATTTTAATCTCTCTAAGCCTCAGTTTCTCATTTGCATTAATGAAGATAATAATTGTATCTAACTCATAAACTAATTGTAAGAATTAATTGTATATATAGGACCTAGGCACTGAGTAAGCATTCAATATATGTTAGGTATTAAAACATATCTCCATCATGGCACTTATTAGACTATAATAGAATTATCACAGAAAAGGCACCTCTTTACAGGGCGGCAGGAGAGAGAAGTGCCAAGTGAAGGGGGAAGAGTCCATTATAAAATGATCATATCTTGTGAAAACTCATTCACTATCATGAGAACAGCATAGTGGCAACCTCCCCTCTCCATGATTCAATTATTTCCCACTGAATCCCTCCTATGACACATAGGGATTAAAGCAACTACAATTCTAGATGAGATTTGGGTGGGACACAGCCAAATCATATCATTCCACGCCAGCCCCTCCCAAATATCATGTCCTCACATTTCAAAATACAATCGTGCCTTTTCAACAGTCTCCCCAAAGTCTTAGCTTATTCTAGTATTAACCCAAAAGTTGAAGTCCAGAGTCTCAACTGAGACAAGGTAAGTCCCTTCTGCCTATAAGCCTGGAAAGTTGAAAGCAAGTTAGTTACTTCCTATATAAACTGAGAGTACAGGCATTGAGCAAATACACCTGTTGCGAATGGGAGAAATTGGCCAAAACAAAGGGGCTACAAGCCCTATGCAAGTCCAAAGTCCAAAATCCAATAGGGCACTCATTAAACCTTAAAGTTTTAAAATCATCTCCTTTGACACTATATCTCACATCCAGATCATGCTGATGCAAGAGGTGGGCTCCATGGCCTTGGGCAGCTCTGCCCCATGGCTTTATAGCCCCTCTCCTGGCTGCTTTTACAGGCTGGCATTGAGTGTCTGTGGCTTTTTCAGGCACATGGTGCAATCTGTTGGTGGATCTACCATTCTGGGGTCTGGAGGATGATGGCCCTCTTCTCACAGTTCCACCAGGCAGTCCTCCAGTGGGAACTCTGTGTGGTAGTTCCCACCCTACATTTCCCTTCTACACTGCCCTAGCAGAGGTTCTCCATGAAGGCTTCATCCCGGCAGCACACCTCTGCCTGGACATCCAGGTGCTTCCATACTGAAATCTTGGTGGAGGTTCCCCAACCTCAATTCATGACTTCTGTGCAGGCCTAACACCATCTGCGAGCTGCCAAGTCTTGGGGCTTGCACCCTCTGAAGCAATGACCTGAGGTGTATCTTGGTCCCTTATAGCTAAGGATAGAGCTGAAGCAGCTGGGATGCAAGGCACCATATCTGGAGGCTGCACAGAGCAGGGGAACTCTGGCCTGGCCCAGGAAACCATATTTCTCTCCTAGGCTTCCAGGCCTGTCATGGGAGGGACTGCTATGAAGGTATCTGACTTGCCGTGGACATATTGTCCCCATCATTTTGGTGATTAACATTTGGATCCTCATTATTTATACAAATTTAGGCAGCCAGCTTGAATTCTCACCAGAAAATGAGTTTTTCTTTTCTATCACATCATCAAGCTGCAAATTTTCCAAAGTTTTATGGTCTGCTTCCTCTTGAATGCTTTGCCACTTAGAAATTTCTTCTGTCAGATACCCTAAATCATCTCTCTCAAGTTTCAAGTTTCAGAGATATCCAGGGCAGAGGCAAAATGCCACCAGTGTCTTTGCTAAAGCATAGCAAGAGTCACCTTATTCCAGTGCCCAACACGTTCCTCATCTCCATCTGAGACCACCTCAGCCTGGACTTCATTGTTCATATCACTATCAGCATTTTGGTCAAAGCCATTTAACAAGTCTCTAGGAAATTCCAAACTTTCTGACATCTTCCTGTTTTCTAAACCCTCTAAGTCTGTAGGAAGTTCAAAATGTTCCCACATTTTCTTGTCTTCCTTTGAGCCCTCCAGACTATTCCAACCTCTGCCTGTTACCCAGTTCCCAAGTTGATTCCACATTTTCAGGTACCTTTATAGCAATGCCCCATTACCTTGGTACAGATTTACTGTATTAATTCATTCTCATGCTGCAAATACATATCTGAGACTGAGTAATTTATAAAGGAAAGAGGTTGACACGCAGTTCTGTGTGGCTGGGGAGGCCTGAGGAAACTTAGAATAATGGCAGAAGGCACCTCTTCAAGAGGAGCAGGAGAGTGAAGTGCCAAGCAAAGGCAGAAGAGTCCCTTATAAAACCAATAGATCTCATGAGAACTCACTAACAGGAGAACAGCATGGGAGTAACAGGCCCAGTTACCTCCCACTGGGTCCTCCCCATGGCATTGTGGGGTTTATAGGAACTAAAATTTAAGATGAGATTTGGGAGGGGACACAGCCAAACCCTATCACCTGTCTTATGCTACTGATGGGGGGATACTAAAATGTCTGAGGACTGAGAAGAAGTAGAAGAGACAGGAAGGGCTCTGATTATATATATATATATATATATATATATATATATACACACACACATATACATATATACACTTCTGAATCTGTTTTTTGTAAGGAGCCACTCCTCTGCTTGTCCCCCAGATCAAAATCATCCCAATTTCCTTAGAATATAACTGTCAGAAGCTTTTGAACCAAAGCAGCTCCATCTTGAATGGCAACTGGGTAAAATGAGGCTGAGACCTGCTGGGCTACAGTCCCAGCAGGTTAGGCATTCTTAGTCACAGGATGAGTTACGAGGCAGGCACACGATACAGGTCACAAAGAAAACGGGATGCAGTAAAGAAGCCAGCCAAAACCCGCCAAATCCTAAATGATAATGAAAGTAACCTCCAGTCATCCTCACTGCTCATTATGTCAATTATAATGTATTAGCATGTTAAAAGACACTCTCACCAGGACCATGACACTTTACAAATGTCATGGTAATGTCTGAAAGTTATCCTATATGGTATAACCCTCAGTTCCAGTTCCTGAGAAACCATTAATAATCCACCCCTTTTTCAGCATAATAAAGAAATAACCTAAAAATACCCACCAGTAGCCCCTGGGAGTGCTCTGTGAAGCAGCCCTTCTTTTATTCCTTTATTTTATTTATTTATTTATTTTTTTTTGAGACGGAGTTTCACTCATGTTACCCAGGCTGGAGTGCAATGGCGCGATCTCGGCTCACCGCAACCTCCGCCTCCTGGGTTCAGGCAATTCTCCTGCCTCAGCCTCCTGAGTAGCTGGGATTACAGGCATGCACCACCATGCCCAGCTAATTTTTTGTATTTTTAGTAGAGACGGGGTTTCACCATGTTGACCAGGATGGTCTCAATCTCTTGACCTCGTGATCCACCCGCCTCGGCCTCCCAAAGTGCTGGGATTACAGGCTTGAGCCACCGCGCCCGGCCTTTTATTCCTTTATTTTCTTAATAAACTTGCTTTGACTGTATTCTGTGAACTCACCTGAATTCTTTTTTGCATAAAATCCAATAGCCCTCTCTTGGGTCTGTAACAGGACTCTTTTCTGGTAACAAAACCACCCATTGCAAGTGCTTATTTCTTACAAACTTTGAGTAATATTAGTTTTTCAATAAAATCCTTGGACACTTTTAAAGCTGTGGGCTCCAAAATCCATCTTCTGCCTTATAATTTTATCAGTATTGGCCATAATAATGAATGTGTTTGGATCCAACGAATATTTTTCATACAAAATGAGAGTGCTGCAGCCTCACAATTTTGAATATTATTTGCAAAGTGTATAACCTATGAAGGCTTGGAGGAAATAGTAAAATTGAAAGGCAAGGAAAACATTTTTTATGGTGACGTTGTTTAAAAACTGGAGGAAGACTGTTTTTCATTTTTGGAGGGTTTGTGATCTCTCTAAATATGCCAACAAAACGAAGTTAAACATAATATACTTGTGTATTCGTAAACCAACAAATTTATTGTTGGTAAAAGGTGTTATAAATAGCCATCATATATATTTTCTCAAAATGTCCAATCCTCAAACTTAAAAGTTTATTATCATTTTCCCACGTAGCTTCAGTGTTTTCCAAAGATTTTTATGAAGATAGTTATTTAAATTTGAATCTCAGGAAGGCATCCTGTTTTGAAACTTTCAGCGTCCTTGGCATTCAGAGTATCATTCACTCAGGTACACTTCACAAACCTGAAAACACTGAAATTCTAAAATGTTGAAAAAACACTGGAGTCACTAAAAGAGATTTTAAATAAATCTTCTCTAGAGATTTAATACAGAGCAGATTAATTTTCTGCACAAATTATCTTGGGTACACAATTTGCAAAAAGGAACTAGTCTCTCAAATTTCCTTTATGCTTTCCCCTACTAGGTGATAATGTTTAGTATTTTTTTTACCTAGAGGCATGATCTGCTTTTGACATGGCTTACAAAGTTAGTGCACTCTGTCATAATGTAAATCCACATTCTTAAATACAAAACAAGTTAGCAAAGGTCTTCTTGTTCCTTTCTGCCAATTCCCAACAGACAAAAATAAATAATTAATTAATTAATTAAAGTAGCTCTTTGTTAGAGAAAGGGCTTACAGGGAGACAAAGAAGGACCTTGGTGGAGTTCATTGCTTTTCCTCTAACCCTAGCTTCCTGGATGAAATATTTGATCATATGCTTTTGCATTTTCCACTCATGTGCAAGAAATACGTAATAAAACTTTGATAAATGGAGCTCTTCCCACACTGCAACTTGTTGCATGACTTTGAAAAATTGTGGCCTGTTCTCTTAAAAACATATCGTAATGTACAAATACTATTTGCCATCCCTGCTTTATCCACACCAACCCTCAAAGATCTACACATTAAGAAACAGTACAGAAATCCTTCAGTTATAGAAATTCAGTGGTTTAGTTTTTGGGTTATAGAATTGCAATG